GCAGCCTCACAAGCACCTAGCGCAGCAGTACCAATGCCCGGGTCGGGCTGGAAACACTGGTAACCCTCAGTCTCCTCAATAATAGTCACAGCATACATAGCAGCAAGGATAGCATCAAAATCAAGATCAAAGATCGCTACAACAGTCCTAAGAAGCTCATCCCAGCGAGGGATCTCACTAGCCCCAGGGAACTGCTGACGCCAAGCGTCCGTCAGGCGGCCAAAGCAGCGCTGGGTGGGGTGGGCACCCCCACACTGCTCACCCGCGCGGTCGCCGGAACGAAGGACGTAGGTGCAAGGACCAGTACCCCCACCCCTCTGACGCTGAGTGTACCACTCACGAAGCTGCTGAGGCGGAGGGATGTCCCGCGAACGCTGCTGCTGCTGCTGCTGCGAGCGCTGGCCACCACCACCGCCGCTCCGCTGCTGGGTACCACCCCGACCAGCTCCACCCCCTCCACCACCACCACCTCCTCCGCTGCCTCCTCCGCCGCCTCCACCTCCGCCGCTGCCACCACCACCACCGCTGCCACCACCACCGCCGGCTCCGCCGCTGCTGCCACCACCACCACCACCCCCGCCACCACTCCCGCCGCCACCCCCACTCCCTCCGCCGCCTCTGCCGCCACCTCCACTGCTGCGTTTGCCCTAGTTGCTGAGCTCGTCGACTTTGCTGCTCGCTGTCGTTTGACTACGCTGCTAGTCTTGTTGCTGAGTTTGAGTCTGACTGTCCTCCGTCCGTCGGGGGTGAGTGTGCCCTTGGCACGGACGTCCTTGAGGATAGGTAGGAGGAGTTCCAGTGTTTGGCTGCTGCTTCACCTCATCTCGTGTTTGTACTGCTTACCCTTGAGGGAGACCTGGATGCACTTGACATCCCGACTCCGCGCTCTTACGCGGAGGCGATAGAGGGTCCCTACTCCTCTCAGTGGCAGGCAGCTATGGATACAGAGATGGCTTCCTGGAAGTCCACAGGCTCCTACGTTGACGAGGTTCCCCTGCCTGGGGCGAACATCGTCAGTGGCATGTGGATTTTGAGGGTGAAGCGGCCGCCGGGTTCTCCGCCTGTCTTCAGTCAGCGGCAGGGAGTTGACTACTTTCAGACCTTCTCTCCCACCCCGAAGATGACCACTCTTCGGGTACTGCTGCACATAGCTGCTCACCGTGACTACGAGCTACACTCTCTTGACTTCAGCACTGCTTTCTTACAGGGCAGCCTGCACGAGGAGAGTTGGCTGCGCCGCCCACTTGGCTTCACTGGGACTTTTCCTCTTGGCACCCAGTGGAGCCTCCGGTAGCCAGTCTACGGTCTCCGCCAGGCACCGCGTGAGTGGCACGGCACACTAAGGACTACGCTTGCGGCACTTGGGTTTGCTCCCTCTACTGCCGACCCGTCGCTGTTTCTTCGCACCGACACTTCTTTGCCGCCGGTCTACATCCTCGTGTACGTCGACGACTTGGTCTTTGCCACAGCTGACACTGCTGGACTCGCCCACGTGAAGTCCGAGCTGCAGAAGAGACACACGTGCACAGACATGGGTGAACTGCGCAGCTACCTTGGCTTGCAGATCACCCTGGACAGAGCACGCCGCACCATTACCCTGACTCAGTCACACATGGTGCAGCAGGTCCTTCAGCGCTTCGGCTTCACGTACTCCTCGCCTCAGGCCAGTCCTCTGCCTACTCGCCACTCGCTCTCAGCTCTGCCTTCGTATGAGTCCGTAGAGTCGAGAGGCCCGTACCCAGAGCTTGTTGGCTTCCTCATATACCTGATGACCTGCACACGACCTGACCTTGCATACCCTCTTAGCATTCTCGCACTGCTATGTTGCTCCTGGGAGACAAAGACCGGAGCACATGGCTGCAGCGAAGAGGGTGTTGCGCTACTTGTGCAGTACGTCGGGCATGGGGCTTGTGCTTGGAGGGCAGAGTCCAGTGATCCTCACTGGGCACGCAGACGCTTCTTGGGCTGACGACCAGGCTACGCAGCGGTCGTCACAGGGTTACACCTTCAGCCTTGGTTCCGGCTCTGTTTCGTGGCGGGCTACCCACTTGCCTTCTGTTCTCGGCTCCAGTTGTGAGGCTGAGATCTACGTAGGAGCCATGGCTGCACAGGAGCTTCGCTGGCTCACCTACCTGCTGACTGACCTCGGAGAGCCGCCTCGTTCTCCTCCAGTGCTGTACGTAGACAACAAAGGCCATGCTGGCCTTGTGTCGTGAGCAGAGACTAGAGCACAGAACGAAGCACATTGCTCTTCGCTACTTCCTTGCTCATGAGCTACAGTAGTGTGGTCAGCTGCGCCTTGCTTACGTGGCCTCTCAGACCAACACTGCTGATATCTTCACCAAGGCACTTGCGCCTTGTGATCATCAGCACTTCTGTACTCAGCTGGGTCTTGTGCCTACCTTGCCTCACTTGCTCACCCCTTGACCTTGTTTTTACTGTTACATATATATATACACCTGCTCTTGTTTGTTTAGCCTTATATATATATGTAATCCTGCATGTGAACTGGCCTTGTGGCCTTGAACTTGTGCTCGGAATGTTTGGTGACGTTGTGATCCACCCTGAGCTTGCTTTGCTTTGCTTGACTGGTCTTGTGACCCCTTGTCCTCCCCCACTTTGCCTATGGGGGTGTGTCAGATTTATATGAATTAGCTGCTGTAGGCTATAGTGGGGTAGCATATATGGGGTACAGCTTTCTAGGGTTTGCACTTGTACCCAACTTTCCCTTAGTCTTTTCATTTCTCGTTCAATTTCACAAACACCTCCAGCAGCAGCAACACTACCAGCCCCGGTAGCTCCACTACCTCCAGTATGATCACCTCTGGGACCAGGAGCTCCAGCACCTCCAGCACGAGGACCTCCAGGACCAGCAGCTCCAGCACCTCCAAGAGCAGCACTACCAGCAGCTCCGGCAGCTCCACCGCTTCCAGCTCCAGTGTCTCCAGTGGCAGGCCCCCCAGCTCTAGCAGCACCACTCCGAAGTCGGATGCGCCGAGCAAACCACTCGTGCAGTTGAAGTGGAGAGAGCGGCTCGCGTTCTGACGAGGTAACTGTAGGACCTCCTGCAGACACTGTACCACCCGGCTCAGCACCCCTAGACTCAGCACCTCCAGTCTCCACACACTTAGGCAAAGCACCCCCAGACTCCACATGATTAGGCTCCGCACCCCTAGGCTCCGCACCATCAAGCTCAGCAACTCCTGGCTCAGCACCACTTGGCTCCGCACGCTGAGGCTCAGCACTCCCTGACGCAGCACCCCTAGCAGCACCACCCCCAGCAGCACCAGAGTCAACAGCGACCTCGACAGGCTCAACCAAGGGTAGTGGGTCTACTTGAGACACATTTGAGGGAGCAGGACCCTGAGGGAGTAGGGGGTCTACCGGAGGGGGACCTCGTGCAAGGAAGAGCGGTGAGGGAGGGAGAGGGTCAGTGCGGTAGGGGAAGAGACGGCAAGGGATCTGACTCCTCAAACGTGACGTCGTGAGAAGTCACGACATGGCGCGAGGTGGGGTGGTAAAACTGCCAGCCAGGCGCGTTAGGGGGAAAGCCAAGGAAGACATAGGGAATGGCGCGAGAGGAGAGCTTGTCCGCGGTGGAATCGCGGGCAAAGGCACGAAATCCCCAGACCCTGAACGCAGGTGCATCGCGCGCCTCTCCCGTCCAACGCAGTGTCGGCGAGGTCTCCGGCAAGGAGACACGAGGACAGAGGTTGAGCTGATGTGTAGCGCACCGGAATGCAAACGGCCACAGAAAATGGGGAGCAGTTGCATGGATCATGGAGGTACGAGCGACCTCCATGACTAAGCCAATGCGGCACTCAGCAACCCCATTATGCTGCGGAGAGGCCGGAAGCGTAAACGACTGGGTGATGCCTTCCCCACGACGAAAGTCACGCAAGAGGTCGGATGTAAACTCACCACCTCTGTCAGAGTGCAGACGCAAGACCGGAAAGTCCGTGTCAAACCGCTCGCGGAGCTGGAGACGGACAACGCGGATCCAAAGGATCCAAACATTAGGGACTCACCCTTGCTGCGCAAGGGGAAGACTGTGGTTTAACGAGAGTAGTCATCTACAACCAGCAGAAAGTATCACTCGCGGCCCTATCCACGGACTCGGGCTGGGCCCCACACGTCCATGTGGAGAGTCTGCAGGGGAGCAGTTGTCGAGGGAAACGAGGAGGAGTGAGGAACAGCGCACTGCCGCCCCTGAACACAAGGGAAGGCAGGGAGGGGCAGGGGATGGTGGAAGGGGAGGCAGAGACCTAGGAAGACCAGAGACAAAGAGACGGGAGTGCATGCCACGGAGGAGTGGCAGGGAGGGGTGACCAAGGCGGTGGTGCCAAAGGAGAGTCTGGTGCGACAGGGCGCGACACGGACGCGGACGCAGAAGTAGCTACCTGAGGAGGCTCAGTAGTCAGTGTGTACAGACTCCACCCACGCCGACGAATGAACGTGGCTAGGTGACGGCCCGTCCGTTTACACGTGCAGATCGACACACGCAGGCCCCCAGGAGTGGTGGTAGTGACCATCGCATCCTAGAGGGCAGCGGTACTCACCAAGTTTGTAGAGAACAAGGGGAGGTGAGGACCTGAGAGTGAGCCGGACGCAACCGCTGAGAGGAACGGGCAAGAACTGGGCCCCTGAGGGATCAGCCAGTCTGACTGCAACATGTGCAGGGAGTGGTGTGACTGTGGTGCTGTCGCGAAAGAAATAGGAGGAATCAAACGTGAGTCAAGCGTGAAGGTGTGCAAGGCCTCAGCACGCACAATACCAGGGAGAGTAGACTCACTAGCACCTAGGGCAGTAGCCTCTAGACCTGGTTGAGGCGGCACACACAGGTAACAGTCACCCTCAAGACTAACAGTCAATGCGTACCTGGCAGCAAGGATAGCATCATAATCAAGAGCAAAGATATCAACACCTTGCCTAAGCAGCTCTAGCCAGCGGGGGAGCTCAGTCGCGTCGAGAAACACTGCGAGCCAGACGTCGTCAAGACGTCAGAAGCAGCGGTGCTGTGTGTGAAACTTCCCGCATGTCTGGCCAGCGCGGCCACCTGTGCGAATGACACACGGGCAACGAACACTTACCCCAGACGCCCCAAGTTGAGCAAACCACTCACGAAGCTGCTAGGGCGAAGGGGTCATGCTTGAACGCTGCTGCTGCTGCCTATGGCCACCTCCAGAACCTTCCCTCTGAACGGCTCCACCCTGACCTCCACCACTACCGCCGCCACCCTCTCCCACTGCCGCCAGCACTGCCGCCACCGCCACTCTAACTGCCGCCACCATTGCTGCTTCCAACGCCTCCACTCCCACCACCACTCCCTCCGCCACCACCGCAACCTCCACCGCCTCCACTGCCCCCACCACCGCCTCCACCGCTTCCACCCCCACTACCCTGGCCTCCCTTGCCCCTGCGGCTACGGCGCCTCCCACTAGGAGCTGACGCAGCCCCGACCTCCTCAGCATGAAGGAAGTCAAAACCAGTAGCAGAGGCAACAGAGGGGACAAGGGGGGAGGGGGAATACCCCTCAAAGAAGGGCGTGCGAGGAGTGCCACGAGAAGCGCCTACAGCAAAAATGCTGGTTGCAGTTGCAAGGAGGTGCTTCTTGAGCAAATCGATAGTGAGGTTTGTGGGTTCAAGGGCGAGAAGGATATCTCTGACTGCGCTAAGAGAGTCGGGGAGGCGGGTGACGATGAAGTAGAAAGTGATGTATATGGGAGGGGGTTCTTGTCTAGGAACTTTGTAGGAAGCGCGGTGCAGTAGCGAGTGTCACTAGTACTGTGACAGTACGATGTCTTATGCCAGCTATGCTTGCTTGCCTTTACTTTACCATGTTATTTCTAGCATAGGATAATTATATGCATGCATGAATTGCTTGATTTCATAGGCTAGGTGCTTTCCTATATATTATTATAGTTATAGCACCGAGCTAGGTTACGTGCACCAAATTCTGGCTTTTCGGTTGCCACCGAATTGCCTTCTACCGAATTCGGGAAGGATCTGTTCGGGACACTTCACGACCCGTGGAACCTTCGCGTAACACCTGGTTACGGGGCCTTGTGTGGAGCCTATATATAGCCTCGCGTTGTACCCATGTGATCATTCAATTCAATTCAATTCACATTCTCTTTTCTGAGCTCGATCCTAGATCCTCACACATGGTAATCAGAGCGTGTTTGCAAGCGAAGTTTTTTCAATCGCTTAAACCTAGCTTTTAAAACCGCGGGGGCGACGTCGGAAAGCGCCGATTTCGGGTACGTAAACGAGTTCTGCGATATTTTCTAATGTCCCCCTCGAACCGGTTTTCGAACACTCCTCAGGTCCAGTGGCGAAAAAGTTGGAATTCCGACCGTCGGATCGATACGAATCTCAACAGCCTCGAGAATTTCCCCAAAACAGTTGGAATTTGGAGCGTCGGATCGAATTTCTTCTCACCGGCCGAGATCAGATTCGAAATTCGACTAAGAGAGAATAACGCGACTTACCGAATCAGCCCTCGTCATTTCTGCAGTCAACTCGACTCACAGCGCCTAAAATTCATATATGTTTGTTGCAAATCTTCTTATAAATCGCCAAATGGAGGAAAACGGTGATAATTCCGTACGGAAAATTACGGAGTTACACACCGGCCTGGACCAGATGCGTGCGGCACTCCAGCGAATAGAGGCGCTTCTCGCGAACCAGTCGGCAGCCGCCACGGCAGCAGCGAAAGCAGCGGCGAATGCAGCAGCGATGTTAGAAGCAGCAGCGGCGACACCGACACTTCACCCAGCAGCAGCGGGAGCAGCTACAGTGAATCTTGAGGCGGCACGTCCGAGGCTACCGGAGACATTCAATCCGAATGCGAGAGACACTAAGGTTCGTTGATTCATTGCGACTCTCGAAATTTACTTCAAGGCCGTTGGCTATACGACCCCGACACACGATGCAATGCGGATTCGGTTCGCAGCGACACTGTTACGAGGCCCAGCGCTTGAGTGGATTTACAAAAGCAACGAGGTTCGAGGCGAGGGGTCATGGACGCAGTTTTGGGAAGCTTTAATTCAACGTTTCGAACCAATCAACTCCAGCTACATGGCGCGGTAGCAGATTCATCGGCATAAACAGTTCGGCAGTGTAACACAGTACACGCAGCAGATGGAGAGCCTCTTCAACCGAATTACCGACCCGACCGAAGGGGAAAAAATCCAAGCGTATACTAAGGGGCTAAAGATGGAAGTCCGCCGACAGGTGATTGCTGCAAACTACAACAAATACCGCGACATGGTGTGTGCAGCAGAGAGATTCGATGCGCTAATGCGATGTGATCCCGAGACACGAAGCCACGTGCCGAACAGATTATTCGACACGAAGCGATCAGCACCACCCACGACCACCGACCTGATGGATATGGACAAGATCGACGCGAAGCAGCGGCCGACAAAATATGAGAAGTGCGAATTTTGCGGCGCAGCAGGACATCGACTCTTGGCGTGTTGGAAGTTGAAGAAGGTACTAGCGGAGCTATAGGGCAACAACAGTTTGACATCCACGATGGCGAAAAAAGGAGGACACTGTTAGAAAGAAGAAGTGGTTAGACTAGAACCAAGTGAGAGTACAAATACCTAACCCTAGAATAATGTACCCCCTTAAGGCTAACCCACTGTAGCCTACACAAATACACCATATATAATGTTTGACACACCCTCATAGGCTAAGTGGGGGAGATCAAGCGGTCACAAGACCAGACAAAACAAAGCAATGCAAGACAAACTCAAGGTGGATCTCAAGGATACCACACAAATTCCGAGCACAAGCAAGTGGTCACAAGACCAGATCACATGCAGTTTGATAATAGAACAAGAGGTACAGTGATCACAACCTAGCAAGTGTAAGCATGCAGGTATATATATAAAGATCACAGTACAAGCAGAGTCAAGAAGTGAGCAAGTGAGGGAGAGTAGGCACACAGCCTAGAACAGTACAGAAACGCTGATGGTCACAAGGCTGAAGCACCTTGGTGAACACATCAGCAGTGTTGGCCTCAGTGGCCACGTAACGCAGACGAAGCTGACCGCGCTGCTGCAGCTATCGAGCAAGGAAGTAGCGCAGAGCGATATGTTTCGTTCTGTGCTCCAGTCTGTGCTCCTCACAAAAGGCAATGGCAGCCTTGTTGTCGACGTACAGCACTGGAGGAGAACGAGGCCGTTCTCCCAAGTCAGTCAGCAGGTAGGTGAGCCAGCGTAGCTCCTGTGCAGCCATGGCTGTGGCGTAGATCTCAGCCTCACAACTGGAGCTGAGAACAGAAGACGAGCATGTAGAACGCCAAGAATCTGAACCAGAGCCAAGGCAGAAGGTGTAACCCTGAGACGACCGCTGAGTAGCCTGGTCGTCAGCCCAAGAAGCGTCTGAGTGCCCCGTGAGTACAACTCAGTCTCGTCCTCCAAGCACTAGCCCCATGCCCGACGTACTGCACAAGTAGCGCAACACCCTCTTAGCAGCATCCATGTGCTCCTTCCGGTGACGGCCAGGAGCGACATAGCGTGCAAGGATGCTAAGAGGGTATGCAAGGTCAGGTCGAGTGCAGGTCATCAGGTACATGAGGCAGCCCACAAGCTCTGGATACGGGCCACTCGGCTCTACGGACTCATCCGAAGGCAGAGCTGAGAGCGAGTGACCGGTAGGCAGAGGAGTAGGCTGAGGCGAGGAGTACGTGAAGCCGAAGCGCTGAAGGACCTGCTGCACCATGTGTGACTGAGTCAAGGTGATGGTGCGCCGTGCTCTGTCCCGAGTGATCCGCAAGCCAAGATAGCTTATCAGTTCACCCAGGTCAGTGCACGTGTGTCTCTTCTGCAGCTCCGACTTCACGTGGCCGAGTGCCGCAGTGTCAGCAGTGGCAAAGACCAAGTTGTCGACGTACACGAGGATGTAGAACGGCGGCAGCGAATTGTCGGTGCGTAGAAACAGCGACGGGTCAGCAGTAGAAGGAGCAAACCCAAGAGCCGCAAGTGTAGTCCTCAGTGGTCGTGCCACTCACGCGGCGCCTGTTGGAGACCGTAGACTGGCCGCCGGAGGCTCCACTGGGTACCGGGAGGGAACGACCCAGTGAAGCCAGGTGGGCGGCGCAGCCAGATCTCCTCGTGCACGCTGCCCTGTAGGAAAGCAGTGCTGAAGTCAAGAGAGTGGAGCACGTAGTCGCGCTGAGCGGCGACGCACAGCAGAACCCGAAGAGTGGTCATCTTCGGGGTCGGGGAGAAGGTCTGGAAGAAGTCAACTCCCTCTCGCTGACGAAGCCTCGTGCAACGTAACGCGCCTTGAAGATAGGCGGAGAACCCGGCGGCCGCTACACCCTGAAAATCCACATGCCACTGACGATGTTCGCCCCAGGTGGGGGAACCTCGTCGACGTAGGTGCCTCTGGACTTCCAAGAAGCCATCTCTGTGTCCATGGCTGTCTGCCACTGAGAGGAGTACTCACCCATGATCGCCTCAGCGTAAGAGCGCGGGGTCGGGATGTCTTGAGCATCCGGATCTCCCTCAGGGGCAAAAAGCATGGACACGAGATGAGGTAAAGCAGCGGCAAAGCACTCAAACTCCTCCTGCCTGTCCTTAAGGACGTCCGTGCCAAGAGCACACTCACCCCCGACGGACGGAGGACAGACATACTCAGACTCAGCGACAAGGCTAGCGGCGTAGTCTAGACGACAAGCGGCAGCAAAGTCAACTATCTCAGCTACTAGAGCAGACGCAGCAGAGGACACAATGGTAGGGTCAGTGACAACAGTGGCGAGGAGACGCGTGACAGTAGGACTGGCAGCACGGAAGGAGTCACACTCTGGGTCAGCAAGAGCAGGAAGAGAGGACGCAGGAGGAGACGGCAGAGGGATACGGTGAGTAGCAGTGGAAGGACGAAGCGCCATCTGGTGAGTGCCTGGGACAGCAAGCGGACGCTGACGCAGGACACGACGACCAGTGCAAGCAACACGAACAGGCGAAGCAGATCGAGACTCCGGCGACACAGGACGAGACTCAGGCTCACGGCGCTCAGTGAGACCGCCTGTCGGACCAGTACAAGGAGAAGGACCAGGGAGTGGCGAGGCAGGCGGGAACTTTGACTGCGACTGGATAGGCGGAGGACACTCTAAGGAGGGAGTAGGACTAGGGGGAGGCGGCTGACCAAGAACCAGCTGAAGGAGTGGAACAAAGTACGGCCGCGGCCGCGTAGCGCCTCCATAACCAGCAAAGGCACCACCAGTATATCCAGCTCCAGGGTCTCCAGCTACACCGGCAGCACTAGCTCCCAGGTCCGCAGCACCAGCAGCAGCTCCAACTCCAGGGTCCTCGGCACCAGCAGTAGCTCCAACTCCAGGGTCCGCAGCTCCATCAGCAGCTCCATCTCCAGGGTCCGCAGCACCAGCAGCAGCTTTAACTCCAGGGTCCGCAACACCAGCAGCAGCTCCAACTCCCGGGTCCGCAGCACCAGCAGC